AAAGCAATGCAACTGCACTGGCAGAGGGAAAGGGTCAGGCAAAGGAAAGACTGCCTACAGAACCTGCTTGCTTTTTTTCTCCCCTGCCCTCCAAAGCAGAGTGGAGAAATTGGAGAGAAAGAGATTTCAAGAGCGTAAGCTGTGTACTCTTCTACGCACTGAAAGCAATGCAACTGCACTGGCAGAGGGAAAGGGTCAGGCAAAGGAAAGACTGCCTACAGAACCTGCTTGCTTTTTTTCTCCCCTGCCCTCCAAAGCAGAGTGGAGAAATTGGAGAGAAAGAGATTTCAAGAGCGTAAGCTGTGTACTCTTCTACGCACTGAAAGCAATGCAACTGCACTGGCAGAGGGAAAGGGTCAGGCAAAGGAAAGACTGCCTACAGAACCTGCTTGCTTTTTTTCTCCCCTGCCCTCCAAAGCAGAGTGGAGAAATTGGAGAGAAAGAGATTTCAAGAGCGTAAGCTGTGTACTCTTCTACGCACTGAAAGCAATGCAACTGCACTGGCAGAGGGAAAGGGTCAGGCAAAGGAAAGACTGCCTACAGAACCTGCTTGCTTTTTTTCTCCCCTGCCCTCCAAAGCAGAGTGGAGAAATTGGAGAGAAAGAGATTTCAAGAGATTACTGTAAACTGTTTGCTTAGTCTGCTCCCAGTTGTGGGCTGCTGGTGCAATCGCACTGCTTTCAATGTGTAGAACAGCAAACAGCTTACTTTCTTGCAATCTCTCTCTCCAATCTCTCTACTCTGCAAGGGAGAAAAGAAAGAAAAAACCAAATGTCAGACACATGACAATGTCTACTGACTGTAATGGTGAACACATAACTGAGAGATGCTGTGAAGATCGTAAATGGGCCATAAAGTTATTTTTTCAGCAACATCGTAACTTTGAACAATCTCTGAACAAATGGTCAGTAAGTGAAGACTACCTGTAGTCTCAGGCAGTCACAAATATTTACATATAATCTATATTTAAATTACTAAATTACAGTAAGAGCATGTGTACTTTCCACAGTAGTAGTATTCTCCTTTATTTTCATGAAGTTTATGTGAATGTGAAATAAAACTATAAACTTTAGAACAAGTCCAATTTAAAATACCGGGTGAGGACAATCTATGTTCAGTCCAACCCAGTGTTTAGCAGAGTCAGATCTTTTATACGTAAGTGTGCTGCTTCTCAAGTAATAGATGAGAAAATGCTGATTGAACCAAGACATTAACTGTAACGTATTATTTAATTGAACATTTGAGAGATTCCTCTTGCCTGAAACACAGCATATATGACTCCATCTGCTGGATTTAATACCTCCAAGACAAAACTAAAAAATAACTTCTTACTGCTAAAAATTGTAAAGCTGCAAAATAGTTATTAAATGGCACTTTGAAATAAGGAGCTTGTCCACAAATTTGTAGTACTCTTACTGATAGTTCTACAGGCAGTCCTCACTTAACAATGGTAATTGGGGCAGGAATTTCTGTTGCTGACCAATGCAGTCATAAAGCATGACATCATGTGACCACATTGCTTAGCAATGGTGATCCCAGCAGTCCCTGATGCCAGCTTCCAACAAGCAAGTCCGTGGGGAAGCCAGCAAGAAGTTACAAGTGCCAGGAGGCTCGCAAGCAGGCCAGGGTGGGGAGTGCTATGGAGTGTAGTGGGTGGGGCACCGCAGCGCCACACAAGTGCAGGTGGGCGTGGGAAGGGGCACTGCATGAGTAGGTGTGGGAAGAGGTGCTATGGCGCCATGCGAGCACTCATGGAAAGGGGCGCTGCAATGCTGTACAAGTGTGGGAGTATGTGCATTACAGAGTATGGGCAGGGGGGTGCTGTGGGCAGGCATATCCGTTAGCAGTCTCCTCAGGAGAAAAAGCAGTGGGAGCGACTTGCAACCTTCCCTGCCAGCTTCCCCACTGACTTTGCTTGTGGGAAGCTGGTGAGGAAGGTCACAAATTTCAATCATGTGACTGTGGGACACCACAACTGTTGTAAGTGCAACCCAGTTGCCAAGCGCCCGGATCACAATCACATGACCGTGGAGGAACTAGGGACAGCCAGAACTTCGAGGACCGGTTGTAAGTCCCCTCCCCCC